ATCTTCTAGTTTTGCTCACTCTAGGAATAAAAGTTGTTTTTCCTTGCCCAACACTCTGTCGCTTGACTTATTGACCGTCCTGTAGTGGTATGTGGTATGAGCTTGACCTCAGTTACAACTGTAACCTGGAATTTCTGGGCGCAAGTGATCCTCCCACCTCAGCCTCCCAAGTAGCTAGGACTACAGGTATGAACCACCATATCTGGCTAATTTTTCAGTTTTTTGCAAGACCAGCTACTTTGCTCAGGCTGGTCTCTAACTCCTGGCCTCAAGCGATCCTCCCACCTCCCAAAGAGCTGGCATCACTGGTGTGAGCCACTGCATCCTGTCTTGGATACTTACTTTGCCTTTCTAGCCCTAGACCCAATGGACCTTGTTTCGTTTTAAATCTACTTAGGGTTCAGTATTACCCTATGAGAGTCAGTACATGATTATACCCAATGTCTTCAGCTGTCTGTTCCTGTTTCCCTCCAACAGTCTGCTGACCTTTTCGTTACAAGGATTTTAATCACTTAATTTAGGGAAACAGAAAGGGTTAAGAAAATAACAAATACAAGTGGGTAATTAAGTTTCCATCTGCTTTCAGAGTTCTTTGAATCCTTATCTAGTTCCTGATTGATTTATGTCAGGAGCTGCAAACTCCAGCAGGGTGAGGCAAATGAAGTGAATGAGTGTGAGGGCAGGTACCCAGCAGGAAGGGCACAGCCCATGGGGCCACTTGGGGATGGGATTCCAGAGTGGCAGGAGACTAGCTTTTTACAGGAAGCCAGAAAATTAGATTTCATGTGAAATCTGATTTTAAAGTAATGGCACCTCCTTCAGAATTTTTGATAACAATGAATCAGCTTTTTAAAAAATGCAATTGGCTTCCATCCTCAGCTTTTATCTTTCACCTGACTTCTCTTCATTCTGGTCTCTCCTTTTATGATTCATCATTCTCAACCACACTGGGGTGTGTTGGAGTAAGGCCCTTATCTCCTTAGGCTTTCATCCATTTGCAACCTTTACCTTTAAATTCTAGGGAGAAAGACACCACACTCATTTATTAATGAGAACTTTGGGCCCTGCTGAGAATATTCTCCTTTAGGCAATTCCTGATGACGCATTTTGTTATTTCAATTTACTGACCATTTACTGGGTAGCCCGGGCTGGGCTGTGTAGGAGGCAGGCAGAGTTCAAGATTTGGAATGGTCATATATTGTGTAAATTTCTGTGATCTTCTTCACTTAGTATTGTTATTACTGACCTCTTGTTGAGGGGGCATTTTTGCTTATTTTCTAGATTCCTGAAGTATTGCTCTTTGCAGCTGGGGCAGCTGGTGGTGGTGAGATGAAAGGTTATAGAACTTCGGATCAGAAATCCCCAACTTAAGACCAACCCAGTTCAGGCACTTTCTATATATGTGACCGTGCAGAAGTAATTTATACTCTGTGTGCCTCAGTTTCCTCATCTATAAATGGAAATAGTGATCTTTCTTAGGGGTTTGTTAATGTTAAATGAATTAAGGTATATGGAAGTATTAAAAAAATTCATGAAGTACCAGTGTATCAAGTTTCAAATTAAATTAAAATAAAAAGTTACCAAACAATAACAAAAACAGGTATAAGAAAAAAGGTAGGAACCTAGGCAGAGCTAGGGGTTCTAAGCAAAGAGCAGGCCAGTCCCTTCTAGTTGCTGCTGAGTCAGTCATGATGTCACTCTGTTTAGTATTCAACTTCCAGAAAGAGGGTTTACTTGGCCTGGCCTCCACCAGGTCCTTATGCCTTCAGCAGGGGATGGTAGGCACCTTGACTGAGGTCCCACCTAGATTGTAAGTAATATAAGAGGTGTAGTTCCTGCAGAGCAAGAGCAGGATGCTGTTACAAGATAAAAAGTATGGATGCTGGGCAGACATAAACATTAAGTAGATACCTCAAGCACTTTGCAAAGGGAAGCATCCTCTGTATGCTTGTAATCATTTGACAACAGACACAGAAGAGGATACTGTTAACAATCAGTAATAACTAATATAATTGGGAGTTACCCTGGGGAAAAAAAGAGCAAGAATGCTTTGGCAAACAGCTGTGCTTGTCCATTACTGAAGCTTAGCATCAGAAAGCATTTAGATACTACCCAAATGTCCATTAACAATAGAATGGTAAATCAATTTTGGTGTGTTCACACCCCAGACTTCACAAAATTAGAATGGACAATGTTAACTATGTACAGCAATATGGATGAATCGCTTGACCGTAATATTGAGCTAAAGAAGGGAAATACAAAGAACATATACCAGATGATTCCATTTATAGAAAGTATAAAAATAGGCAAGACTAATCTCTCTTGTTAGAAGTCAGTGATTACAACCACCAAGAATAGTAAGCAGGGATGAGAAAGCTGAGGTCTGTAGACTGATACCATATTTGCTAAGTATAGTATAATGTTTTATATATTAAAATACATTGTGGCGGTGATGGTTGGGGGAGTGGCATTCTCCTTTCCCCAAAAGTTCACAGAAAGATCAACTCACAATTAAGGCAGATTAATAAGAGGAAGAGGTTTATTTACTGTGTGCATGGGGAGAATGGCAGGAGAGATTACCCAATGGGATCCAGATATTTTTATATTCTCCTTTTAGAGGGGAGGGAGCTGAGGAATATAGGTAATTCTGTTTAGGGACAATAAATGGTTGCTAGGGAGAAAGAATGTATGGGGGAAACAGATTGACTTGTAAATGATTCTCTTTGAAAATTAACCTTGAGAGACAGGTATTATATTTAAAATGATTTGGGCCAGATCTGGTTGTATTCTTGATTTTCTTTTCTGCAATACTGTGAGATAACGGGGAAGGGAAGGGAAGCCATTTATTCTTTTGATGGGTCCATCTGCTTATGCAGATAGAGGGAAAGCTCTTCCGAGGGTCTGTCGATCTCTAAGGAGCTTTAATTCAAAATACTTTTTATACCAAGGAGTCATATTTTGCGGTGAAATTTCTGGAGGTCCTTCACATCCAATTAAAAAAAAAAGAAGTCAGTGATTACCTTGGGGGGTTAGAATTGTGGCTGGAAGCAAACAGGAGGGGAGGTTCCGGGGGATGGCTGTGCCCTCTTTTTTGTTATGGGTACTGTAGGAGATTTCATTAAACTATATGCCTATGGTATATGAACTTTTCCGTGTTTATTGTACGCTTAAATTTTTTATTTCCTTTCTTTTTTTTTTTATTTTAAAAAAATCATGTACACTGGCGAGCACCATGACACCTGGTTAATTTTTCTATTTTTAGTAGAGATGGGGGTCTCACTCTTGCTCAGGCTGGTCTCCAACTCCTGAGCTCAAGGGATCCTCCTGCCTTGGCCTCCCAGACTGCTAGGACTATAGGCGTGAGCCACCGCACCCAGTATACCTAAATTTTAAAAAGCCTAACTTTTGACATGTATTAATACTCCCAAATAGATATCCTATGCTGAATAGTTTAAGAGGTGTGAGGCCATGCTAATGTTAATGTGTATAACCTAATCTAAATGCTCATTTTTACATGTGTGTATCTTAGCCTTCAACAGCTTCTATAAATAGGTTGAGATTTTCTGTGAATTCTGTTGATTATGTGTTAACATTTGATTATCATCTTTAAATAAACCAGAGAAAGTATTTGACTTGGAGGACATTCCTAATAGTGCTAAATTTGATTAGATAATTTTCTATATCTGGGAATAACTTTAAAATTATTATTATTTTTTGAGACAGAATCTCACTTTGTTGCCCCAGCTAGAGTGAGTGCCGTGGCGTCAGCCTAGCTCACAGCACCTCAAACTTCTGGGCTCAAGCAATCCTCCTGCCTCAGCCTCCCGAGTAGCTGGGACTAAAGGCATGCGCCACCATGCCCAGCTAACTTTTTCTATATATATTAGTTGGCCTGTTAATTTCTTTCTATTTATAGTAGAGACACGGTCTGGCTCTTGCTCAGGCTGGTTTCGAACTCCTGACCTCGAGCAATCCTCCCGCTTCGGCCTCCCAGAGTGCGAGGATTACAGGCGTGAGCCACCGCACTCAGCCTACTTTAAAATTATTCTATGCCAAATGCTGTGCACAGGTCTGTAGGCCCAGCTGCTTGGGAGGCTGAAGTGGGAGGATCCCTTGAGCCCAGGAGTTTGAGTCCAGCCTGAACAATATAGTGAGACCCCAGCTCTTAAAAGAAAAAAAAAAAAGAAGAAGAAAAGAAGAAATAAAATTATTTTATAAAGAACTATAGGCCAGGCACGGTGGCTCACACCTGTAATCCTAGCACTCTGGGAGGCCGAGGCGGGAGGATCATTCAAGGTCAGGAGTTCGAAACCAGCCTGAGCAAGAGCGAGACCTGTCTCTACTAAAAATAGAAAGAAATTAATTGGCCAATTAAAAATATATATAGAAAAAATTAGCCAGACATGGTGGCACATGCCTGTAGTCCCAGCTACTCAGGAGGCTGAGACAGAAGGATTACTTGAGCCCAGGAGTTTGAGGTTGCTGTGAGCTAGGCTGATGCCACAGCACTCTAGCCTGGGCAATAGAGTGAGACCCTGAAGTTAAAAAAAAAAAAAAGAAAAAAGAACTATAATGTGTTTGGTATTTTTAGTTCCTTGACTTGCTGCTATTTTCTTTAACACACAAGACCCCACAGAGCAAAGACCTATTTCCCCCCAAAATTTGACATCAAATAGGATTGACGAAAAAGAAGAACAATTGATATGCTTTGAGTTACAGTTTTAACTCAGTTTATAGGAATACTGTTTCACCCACTCTCCATTCTTACTTTTGCTTAAATACATGAAGTGCATGTGGTGAGATGTGTGATCCCAAAGACGGCTTCCTGGGAAGGTAGGCGATTCTCTGGAAGCGTAGGATGCAAGTAGACCTATAATTTGGTAGCATGGCTCACAGCGTACACAGTATCATTAAACTACAGATTATACAAACACACACATAGTGGTGGCTCCTTTATCTCTTTCAAGAAAAGTGATATATTCTTGGTTTGTTCCGGGTAGATTCTGCCGTTCCTGTATCGCTACCAGCCTAAAGAATAATAAGTGGACCTGTCCATATTGCCGGGCATATCTTCCTTCAGAAGGAGTTCCAGCAACTGATGTAGCCAAAAGAATGAGATCCGAGTACCAGAACTGCACCGAATGTGACACCCTGGTATGTGACCCTGCCCATGTCATGGTTACTAGCTTAGGTTCCTGAGGAAATGATCATTTCCCTTCTGCTTTTGACCCCATCCTATCCACCGTTTGGAAAGTGTTTTATCTCACCCTTCCCACTTCCTTTTATCCAATTTCATATGTATTGGCTGTAAAAAGACAGTTCCCCTGAATTCCTACCATCACCCAATTTTTCAAACAAATGCTTTCATTGACCACCTCCATTTTCTCTTCTTCCTATAACTCCCATGGTCTATTATGTGGCCTGTGTTCTTGCTACCCTGTGGCATCTTACCAATGAATAGTTTTGTCATCAAATCCAGTGGCATATTTCCACCTGTGTTATTCTGGACTTTGTACTATTTATCTCTATTGAACACTTCCACCTTGTTGAAGTTTTCACCTTTGCTACTATACTGGCCTGGTCAGATCATGTAAGATCTTAAAAGGCCATGTAGAAGATTCTAGATTTTATCCTAAATGCATTACTAAGCCATAGTAAGAGTGTAAGCTTTATTTTATTTTATTTTGAGACAGAGTCTGGCTCTGTTGCCCTGGCTAGAGTGCCATGGCATCAGCCTAGCTCACAGTAACCTCAAACTTCTGGGCTCAAGCAATCCTTCTGCCTCAGCCTCCCGGGAGTAAGCCAGGACTACAGCATGCAACAGCCATGCCCGGCTAATTTTCTTTCATATTTTAGGTAGCCAATTAATGCTTCTTTCTTTTTAGTAGGAGACGGGTCGTCACTCTTGATCAGGCTGGTTTCAAAATCCTGACCTTGGCGAGATCACACCTGCCTTGGCCTCCCAAAGTGCTAGTTACAGGCGTGAGCACCGCACCAGCAAGAGGTAATGTAAGCTTTAGAGCTCCGAAGATCGTTTTTATAGTTTTAACGATCATCACTCTGAACATATGCGTGGAGAAATGCTTTGGAGTGGCCAAAGTGGAATTGGTGGGCGAAACATTAAGTGGCTATTTATGAGTAGGTCAGAGAAGGCTGAATTAGGGTGGGATGCATTAGTTATGGCAATAAAAAGGTTGTTTTAAGGTAATGGTTAGATGTAGAATGAAGGAATTGGTATTTGGATGGTTGGGTTGGTGGAAGTGGAGGGAGGTGGTCAAAAATGCTTGCCCAGCATTGCTTTTTTCTTTTTCCCGACAGAGTCTTACTCTGTTGCCAAGCTGTCCGTGGCATCAGCCTAGCTCACAGCAACCTCAATCTCCTGAGGCTCAGCAAATTCTTTCGCCTCAGGCTGCCAAGTTAGCTGGGACTATGCGGTATGCGCCACCATGCCAGCTAAGTTTTTTTCTATTTTTGGTAGAGGACGACGCAGTTCTCGTCTTGCTCAAGCTGCTGGGTCTTGAAACTCGGCAGCTCCAACGATCAACCCGCCTCGCCTCCCGAGTGCTAGGATTACAGGCCGGAGGCACTGCGCCCAGCCTTCCCCAGGCATTCTGACTTAAATAAGTGAGGCTCCTAATTATGGGAAAATTCTGGAGAAGAATCCACAGAAGTTATGTTTCTTGGTATGTGAATTTGAGCTGCCCCAAGAGGAGGATGCTGGGAGCATGTTTAGATACAGGTCTAGAGATTCAAAAGAGAGATTACGTACTAAGCATCTAAATTGTTTTAGAGAACACTTTCTTGATGTTTATCCAAATTATAGCCGCTGTTTATGCTTGTCTCTCTAGCACCTGGGTTGCTTTTGCTTTTATCCACTTATAGTGCCATTTCATGACGCTCGGCCTTAGTATTCCAGTTCCTGTATCAAACAGTTCCTCTTCTTGTCCACACGTCATTTTTCCTCTATTGTATATAAGCACCATTAGAGCAGACACAATGGTTTTGTTTGTTCTGCTATCTCTTACACCGTCTTACATAATTTTGTGTCTAGACTGTCAATGATCAATTCATCTTTTTGTTAGCCATATAGTCCTCGGCTTGCTTAAATTCATGAACAAAGCATACAAAGAGAATAAATTTTTATTAGCAGTAGTAGTAAAGAGATGAGAGAACGCTCATGTGCAAAGTTGGCTGTTAGAGGTTGCGAAATACGTGTGTTTAAGACAGCTGCCTAGATCAATCCTAGTTTTTATATCTTTTAGGTGGATATTTGTAAAGCAAGCACTTTGTTTTTACTTTTCCACTTGCTTTTATTTTTTGCCTTTTGTGAAACAATGATAACTGTTTTCTTGATGTGATAGATTTCGTCTTTGAGGTTTAACTTCCGTAGCTTGGGCAAAATGAAGCAGAGTGGGTCGGCAACCTTACCACAGCTGTACAAAGCTTCCGTTAGCACAAGATCTTATCAGAGTTCTAATGAAACATTTAATAGAATATGTGTTATGTTAGCGACAGATCCCTCATAGTTAGGATCTGTGAATGTATATCTGGAGGAACAAGGGCTCTTTATTCTGCATTGAGGAAAATGGACTGCAAGAGCAGTCTTTTATGTTTGCTGTTAATGGGGCCATTAAGTATGCTGTGTATTAGGAATTCATGTAATACTACTGGGTATGTTATAAAGTCATGGTATTTATATCTTTCTTAGACTAGCACAGAGTTTCTTTTAACTTGCTATAGACTTTTCTAAAATTCATCCATTTATTCTTCTTATTTCTATTTTTCTTTCTCTTTTTCCTTCTTAATGTTTTTCTTCTTTTCTCCCTCTTGCTCTCTTTTTCTTCATCCATTTTTCTTTCCCACTTCCATCTTTTCAAAACCTATTTATATAATTGCATACAAAGAAGGCAAATTTGAGTTACTATACATCTTTTCACTTAAAAAAATGTATATGTATTTGTGTGTTCTTTAGATGAACCAAATTCAAGAACTCAACATTTGGGTCTTCTAAGTATTGGAGAAATTTGAAAATAGTATTAATTCTTGATAATGCCCTAACTTGTGGTACTCATGTCATGAATGCATTCATTTAATCAACTGATCCCACAATATGACATTCTGTGAAAGTCATAAAGCTGGATCACATAAGACTTCATTGAGCCCCTTTTTAACTGGGTTTATTTCATTTGCTTTTCTATAGGTTTGCCTCAGTGAAATGAGGGCACATATAAGGACTTGTCAGAAGTACATAGATAAGTATGGACCACTACAAGAACTCGGGGAGACAGCAGCAAGGTTGGTTTCAGTACATTATAGTTTAACGCTAAATTTTGACATGTCTATAAAGAATTTAGTGGGCTGCAAAGGTTAGCATTTTTATTATAAAAAATATTTATGCAGTAATGTTTGGGTTCTTATCCATCATACCTGATATTGGTAATCATGTGTTAATAGCAATCGTTGTCAAAGAATTTTGCTCTACTTGAAAAACTGCATGTGGGTAACCAAACACACGCTGGAGAGATTGGGACAACTTCCTAAGACAAGTTTGTATGAAGGAAGATCCAAAAATAAAATGCAGAACTGTTAAATTTCTGCCAGGCTCTGTTTGCTGACTAATCAATTCCTGAAGTGGTTCATAACTGAGATTATTCGTCTTGACTCTTCCATCACCACTGCTCATTTCCCCAGCTCATTCCTTACCACGTTGCTTGTTTCTCTTTAGAAGGCAGGAGGCAACCTCTCAGTATGTGTGCTAGTAAGGGAAGAACGGGCCTGGGCAGGTGTCCTGAATCCTTTGTGGTTTTGGTGGGCAGTCTTACTGGGGCTGCCAGAAGAATGGAAGAAGGGGCTGAGAGAAGAATGGAAGGGGCTAGTAGGTATAATGGAGGATATGAATCATTTACTATTTTTTTTCTTTAAAAAAAGAAAAAGAAACAAATATGAGTCATTACTGTCCTGATGGGAACGGTAATTTAGTAGTATCAGAGTAATTATAAAGGTTGGAGTCTACCTCTGCTAACCAAATAAAGAAATAATTTATATTCTCCTGTATAATAGGTCAATGGCCTTGAAACTGTTAAATCTGCTTATGAACTCATTTACCCAATATTGATATTCAGTATGTGTGTAATTTCTTTTTCTCTCCTGAAGAAAAATGTTAGGTCTACTCATTGTAATAAAATATATTCAAAATATAGCTTAAATTTCTTAACCTAAAAGTCTAAGTGATCATCCCATTCCTTTTGTTTTTCCTAGAAATTGCCTTGCAAAGGTACCTGTTATTATAGGTTTACCTTTATATCATGATATAATAAATTCTTGATGAGTCTTTTAGCTGTTAACAGAGTAAGGATCCTGATAGATTGACCACAAGGACCAATGGAAAGAAGGTTAACATAAGTTGAGAAAGTGTGTGGGATTTGATTACAAGGTTGATGGGCTTTAAGAAAATTAAAAAATCTATGCAAGCTAATTGGAATCCTCATTCCTTATGATGGTTAGAATTAAATAGTAAACATTTAAAATAATAGAAAATGGGGAGGGTTGTTGATTAATCTTACAAAGTAGATTAATATTGGCATTTATGATAGAAACCTTTGTTTTGTAGAAGAATTTTCTATATGATTCAAACTTTTGAAGTCTTTATGCATGGAGCATATCCAGAGTGCAATACCTGGGGGACAGGAAGTTACATCCATAATGGAAAGCGAGCAAAAAAATCTAAGCCTCTATATTGTCCCTGAGAATTTAAGGCAATACTGTTCAATGGAAATATAATGTGGCCACACACAGTGGCTCACGCTGTAATCCTAGCACTCTTGAGAGGCTGAGGCGGGTGGATTGCTCAAGGTCAGGAGTTTGAAACCAGCCTGAGCAAGAGTGAGACCCCGTCTCTACTAAAAATAGAAAGAAATTAATTGGCCAACTAAAAATATATAGAAAAAATTAGCCGGGCATGGTGGTACATGTCTGTAGTCCCAGCTACTTGGGAGGCAGAGTCTTGCAATGTTGCCTAGGCCAGTCTCGAACTCCTGGCCTCAAGTGATCCTTCTGCCTCGACCTCCCAAAGTGCTAGATTATAGGTGTGAGCCACCATGCCCAGCTAGATCTTTAAAATCCAATGTGTATATTTTATGTCCAGTATATCTGAATTTAGACTAGCCACATTTCAAGTACCCAATAGACACATAAAGGACAGCCCAGATGTAAGGAACCAAATAAATATTCCTAAGTGTAAGTAAGAAGTTTTTGTTGTTTTTTTTTTCAGAGACAACATCTTGCTGTGTTGCCCAGGGTAGGGTGCAGTGGCTATTCACATGTACAGTCATTGCTACAGCCTTGAACTCCAGGGCTCAAGTGATCTTTCTGCCTTAGCTTCCCAAGTAGCTGGGATGACAGACGTGCCACTGTATCTGGCTCCCACCCATCTCCCCATAAGGATTTAACAAGCTAGTTGTGGGTCAGTTTTCATTCTTCAGAGGAAACTATAATGTGAATTGACAGCTCTAGTTATATGCTGGTGGATATAGACAACAAATAACACTCAATTCAGATATTACCTGAATTAGAAGAAAAAGGTAACCCAGGGACAGCTGGGTGCTGTGATCCTCAGTTTCTCAGTTAATGGGTGCTCAGATTGCACGGCTCCTCCAAAGAGAATAAGGTGCTTCGAGTGAATTAGAAATGTTTCTCTGCCCTGTCCCTGTGAGCATACACATTTGCATTTCTCATGAAAAAAAATTTAGGCACCAACACCGTTATCGGGATAGGAAAAGTAATATCAAGTCAGAGGAAGAACCAGGATTAGAAACTAGACTCACTTACATTGTATTTTTTTTTTTAATCTCTAGTTAAGTGACTAGTACTTAGTTGCCAACAACTTTAGTAATATTTCTATTTTATGCAATTTCCAGGTGTGCATGTCCGTTTTGCCAGAGGGAATTGGATGAAGACAGCTTGCTGGATCATTGTATCACTCATCACAGATCAGAAAGGAGACCTGTAGTAAGAATTTTTGTTACATATATTTTAGCAAAGTCTGAATTCAGGATACAATAGAAAATCCATTTATTATATTTCTATTTATAGATTTATTGTGAAGGATAATAATTTATGTTAAGGTTATAATTTTTGACTGTTTATAATATGTGAAAGTGTTGAGTTGAAACTGACAAGAATTACTGATGTGCAATCACTCTTTCATTTATGAAATTACACATTATCTCTTACAAATAAACATGGGTATAATCAACCAAAGTGATCCAAAATGCACTGTTAATTAGTTAAGATTTAATTTTGGAATACAAACTGTGGTCATATCCTAAGTTAAAAACATTTTTTTAAATTTTTTTTTCCGAGATAGAGTCTCACTTTGTTGCCCAGGCTAGAGTGAGTGCCGTGGCGTCAGCCTAGCTCACAGCAACCTCAATCTCCTGGGCTCAAGCAATCCTCCTGCCTCAATTCAATTTTTGGAAGCATTTTGGAGTACATTTTTTTTTAATTTTAATTTTCTGAGACAGAGTCTCACTTTGTTGCTCAGGCTAGAGTGAGTGCCGTGGCGTCAGCCTAGCTCACAGCAACTCAACTCCTGGGCTCAAGCGATTCTATGCCTCAGCCTCCAGATAGCGGGACTACAGGCATGCGCCACCATCCGCTCATTTTTCTATATATATTTTGTTGGTCATAAGTTTCTTTCTATTTTAGTAAGGTGGCGTCTCGCTCAGCTGGTTTTTGAACCCTGACCTTGAGCAATCCACCACCTCCGCCTCCAGAGTGCTAGGATTACAGGTGTGAGCCACCGCGTCTGGCCTGGAGATACATTTTAAGACCTACTAAAAAGTTTGCCCTATTGATCCCAGAAATAGCAATCTAAGGAATTTCCTCCCAGGAAAAAAAATCTAATAACAGGGAAAGTTTAAATGTACGAAAAATAAGATATGTCAAAAATCCTAAAAATTAGTAATAATCCAAATGTTCAAAAATAGTAGTAAAATGGCATGAGTAAATGTTAAGGTATCCACTCTGCTTTACCTTACAACTATATAAAAATGAAAATTATAAAAACCGCACTGTAAAACAGAACTACAATGCCAGGTTGAAATGAAAAAAGGCAACATTCATAATAAATCTAGGAGATGACGAGCAATATATATATTAAATATGCAATCATATGGATAAATGACTAACTGTGAAATAAAATAATAGATTAATTAATGAAGATGAATAACTACCTACTTTTCATTTCTATGATTGGTCATAATAACATCTATTGCATATTTTAAATATTTTTGCCGGTTTTGGCTGGGTGCGCGGTGGCTCACGCCTTGTAATCCTAGCACTCTGGGAGTCGCAGGTGGGGGATTGCTCAAGGTCAGGAATTGAAACCCACTGAGCAGGAGCGGACCTGTCTTACTATAAATAGAAAGCATTAATTGCACATATATAGTATAGAAAAATTAGCGGGCATGGTGGCGATGCCTGTAGTCCCGGCTATGGGAGGC